GCGGCGACGGAGGTGCGCATGCGCGGGTAGTGAGGACGAGGGGGTTGTGATGGCGGGCGGGGTGCTTGAGGAAGGGCGGTTCTGCTGCTGAGAGGGCCGGGCATCCCTCGGGCAGGCTGCCTGCAGGGCGTTTGTCGGTCTGTTGGCCGCAGTGGAAGGTGTGTTAGGCTGAGGTAAGGTGTAGGCGCTATGGAGAGGGAGGTATCAGGGCCCCTGGCCTTACGGGCAGGGTGAGGCCTGTGCTGGGCTGCTTGTGCTTGCAGAGAGTCCTCGGAGCCTTAGAGCTTGTGGGGTGGCCTGGATTCCCGTCACCCTTCTTGGGACTGCTCTTCCACCACGGTGAAAGCTCAGCGTGAGAAATGAGTAGTTCTTCGAAGAAAGCATTTTTATTTACATGAGAATTAGCGGAGAAAGTGGTGTAACAGTTTTTCAAGATGGCTGGGGAGGCTATAGTGCTTTCTGCTTGAGAACTTGGCGTCTTCTTGATTGCAGACCCTGCCTGGAGATGTCGCAGTGTCGGTGGTGTTTCAAGGAAAACCTTGCAAATTCGAGCTCTTGCAGAATGCAACCTAATACATACCGACAGGAGCTTTGTTTAACAAAAAATCCCCAACCTTTATACTGTCTGTAGAAGTACCCTGAGGTATCTAGTTGGAAAGTTCTAAGCGCAGTGTGCTGTTAATAAGCAGAGCTGCATGTCGTTTCCAGGCATAGCTGTCGACAGAACGCAAGGAGAAACTGGTAGCATCTAGGCCCTGACCCTGAAAGCACTTCTGGGTTTTGTCCTTGCAGTCTCAAAAGCTCTGGTTAAGGTGTGAAGATGGGGCTCCAGGCAACATACTCTGCCAACAAGTGCGCCAGACTCTGCAGACTTTAACACCCTGCAACTGCACCTCTAGATCATTGTCAAGAAGTGATGAGCTCTGAAGAAAGCAAGCACCTGTGTTGGTTGAAGTGTTGTGTAGCTGTGCTAGAATATCTTACCATTTAGGGGCAGGATATAATGTTACGGAACGGTGTTTAGTAGCCAGAGGGGGAGAATGCAGTAAAAAATCTGAAACGTGTGGTTTTTCAGATATGTTGTTGCTCGTCCAGTTACAGGAGGTGCTGAAATAAATATTAAGGCATCTGATCAGTTGTGAATCCACAGAGATTGTCCGCGGAGACAATGATTTGTTCGAGGGTCTGGAATAACCATTCTGCCTCCTGATAGCTTTCCCATAAGCCCATTTGGAAATGTTTTACTGATGGAGTAGGCTCCCAAGGGAAGGGGTGAAAGTCATCTGCGAAGTCGGTTACAGTCAGGTTGTGCAAAGCACTGGGGAACACACGGTGTGCAAGAGCCCTGCCGCTCGTTCACGGCGAGCTCGGTGTGACCCAGCGTGACTTCCCAGTTGACCCTGTACGCGGAATTCTGCGCGGTGATGGTGAGCTTACAGCAGGGTGTATGCCAGGAGATCCCACCGCAAAATCTGGCACGTCATTTCTTTCATGTGATAAGCTGCTATTTTCTGTACAGTGGGAGAGGATCTGCTGTCTGGCAGACAAGGAGTAACCTTGTTGTATACCTTTGCTGTGCAGATGTAAGCCTTTAGGAATTTGTTTGCATTTTAAACAAAAGGGTGTCAGTACTAAGGAGAACTTGCTGGTGACTCCCAAGTCCTCTTTCACTCACCTGCTGATGGCTGTTGGGAATATCCTGCTTCAAGGTGAAACCCAGAATTAGGTCCCAGCAAATCTTCCAGGCTCTGAGCACTTAGCTCCTACACAGAGGAAGTAATAACACAAGAATTAGGTACATACGTACAAAATTACATGGAGTTGCTCATTCAGTAGTTACAGAATGGAGACTTTTTAGCTGTACAGCAACGCTTGGATCGTGCTGGCTGTTCCCAGGCAAAGTGCAGGTGGGGCGTGTGCGAGAACCTGGCCCTGCTTTGTGCCGGGACGGTGCTGTCTCCAAGGCAGAGCTAGCAGCAGTGCGCAATTTTACCGGGCATTATATTTGTTTCTTCTGGATTAAGGCCTATGAATGTATTACTGACCATGAGGGGTTAGTTGGAGGCAAATTTGATGACATTTTGGGCTGTGATCTGGCCTTTGTGTGGGATATTTTAATTTCTCTGAAGCCCAGTACAACACGTCGTTACGAAGACTGAGCCACGGCATTGCTGATCAGTCTGTACAGACTTTCAGCTCAATACCTTAAATTTGTCATTGAAATGAACAAGATCTTGTGTGGAGGATTGTTCAATGAATTTCCCAAGATTTATGTCAATCCAATCTCTCTTTCCTCTTTGGATGTCACAGGCAACCCCTAGAAAGAGGAAAAAAACTTCAGGTCTGTTGCCGAGGCAGTGTTACAAACTAAGACAACCTGTGGCCTTTCAGGGCAGCGGTGATGGTGCTAATGAAAGGCACAGAATTAGGACACCATTCCTGTGGGTGTTCATGGTTTTAGATTATCTCTTGATTTAAGAGCCAAATCTAACTGTGGGAAATATCCCCATGCAGTGCAGGTAGGACCCAGAGACAGGACCAGCTCCAAGGAGACTGTAAAACAAGTCTGAACCCACTGTACTCCTGCTCAGTGAAGTTGGTGCCAGCCACGTGGACAGCGGAGTGAAGGTAGGAACCCATGGCTGATATTTTGTAGCCTGGAAACAAACTCTGTTATCACTCTCTAGGCTTTAGAATTATTTTACTTCTTTGGTGCCGTTACCTGTTGAATGTGATTGCTGGCTCAGGTAGGTTTTAATGTAGCTGTTGTATATGTCGATTTTGTTGGAAGGTGAAAGGGACTCATAAGCGTTGTTGAATCCTTTGACTCTGGGAAATAAAAGAGGACATTTTCAGAAAAGAACTGCATTTGTTTGGAGTTTTAAGGAAGTTGACCTGTTGTTTCCAACCTGCTGCATGGCCTGGGTGGTGCCTGAGGCTGTCACATCTCTCAGTTGGATTTCACAGAAGAGGCTCATGAATGTTTCCATTTATACGAACAGAAAAATGTTTTAGAATATAGGGGACTTGCTCACAGATTTCCAACAGTGACAGGCAAATTGAGCAACCTGGAAGATCTCTGTGCACTTCCTGCCTAGTGGTTCTGTGTTTGGTTTCAGCTAATACACAGAACAGTGAGGGAGTCGGAGCTCGGTCCTGTTCGAGAAATCCAAATGTGGAGTTTCAGCTGAAACGCCAGCTTTTAACTACAGTGCTGTCACAACCCTAAGAGTCGTGGTAAACTCACATTGCTTGATAGGAATCACAAGAGATGTTGGTCCCCAGCCATCCCAGATAGGTTTTGTTCATACCAGACAGCAACAAGGGCAGCTGCTGCTGGAACCAGGCTGCCCATCTTTCACTGGAGAAGTTTTGGAATTTGGGTCTTAGCTTTAGTAGTACTGTCTTCAGTATGGTGTCTCTAACCAGCATGCTGGGTAGTGAGGTCAGATTTACCTGTGGTATAAAGATG